TAAAAACAAATTTTTTTGCATAGCATAGAGAACTATATTCAATATCTTGTAATAACCTTTAACGGAAAAGAATATGTAAACGAATGTGTGTGTATATATATATATATATATATATATATATATATATATATATATATATCTGGGACATTATGCTGTACACCAGAAATTGACACATTGCAACTAACTATATTTCAATTAAAAAAAAAGACTGTTTATAAGACATGGGCACAGTTAAACGCCCCAACCCAACATGGGGAGTACTCAGAAACTAGCAACAGTGGGAAGACCAAAGGGACAAGGGCAGTGACTGATCACTGGAAGTTGCAGATGTGGACTTAGGTAGAGAAACACCAAGTCATTGGGGAAGGAGATGGGGGAGTCAGTGCTCTGATCTCTGTCTCTTCCTGTCCTCCCATCTTCTGTAGGTGCCTCCCACTGGCCAAATTCAACTTAAAGCCTGAGGCGAGGGAGCCCAGGTGAAACAGTCACAAAGCAACCTCCTAGGACACACAGTGGGATGGAGAAGGACCAGGAGGGGCATGTGGAGAATAGCCTGCACAATATTTTGGTGGAATGCAGGGTAGAGGACCATGGGGGAAGAGGCTGTGTCACAACGCCTACCACAATACCTTGAGTAATTAATTGCCTCCAAACATTCACTGAGCACTTGCTCGGCTGGGTGCTGGTGACACCAAGTAAGTCAACAGAGACTGTCCCTGAGACGCTCCTAAGCCAGCACACAATTGTGGTCCTTATGGCAGATGATGGAGGCTATGGGATGAGGGGCCACAAAAGACAGCTCTGCCCGAGAGAGTTAGTGAAAGCTTCCCAGGGGAAGCTTTTGAGCTGCGCTTGTGCAAAAGATCACCAAGTGGAGGAGGGGAATCTGTCTACACAGAGAACAGCATGGCCAGGGGTGCAGATGCCATCAGAGTATGGCAGCAAAGGCATGAAGTTGAGAAGGAGGTTGGGATAGAGTCTGATATCAGGGCTTCAGCAGCAAGACTGAAGAGTTGGGATGTTACACTTTGATTGGGCAAGTGGGAGTTAACAGAGGCTTATGAAGAGTGTGACATCTTAACAAAGGATGAGCTGATGCGAATGCTTTCCCTAACACCTCTTCTCCTGATACACTCTCCTTTTCCCTCTCATTTCCCCCTCTTACTTCAATGCACCACCCACGGCATTCCTTATTGTTGTTTTGTTTCTGGTTGCTGAAACTTCCAGGGTGAAGGGATTAGTTAGAATGGATTCAGTGTTGGGAAAAGAAACAGAAACATTCCAGGTTTTTTAAAAAAATTTCCCACTTCAGTTGCCAGTAGATGTTTAATTTGAGGATAGTGGAAATATTGGGGATGCTGGCACAGAAATTAAAATGCTTAATGAGCCAATGCTTAGTGGTTGACCACAGTAAAACAAAAATGAGATGTGACTCCAAGGCAACTTGAAAGTTGTCTTGAAGTATGGTCAGTATCCTAATGTCTTGTATTGTAGCCTGCGTGCGACATAGCAAAAATTGAACAAATGAAAACACAAACATGTACTCTCACATCACTTTTCCTCACATTGATCTGCAGAGAGGAAACTCTTCAAGACTTTGGGGAGAAAGTCCTTAATCTAATTATTCAAACAACCATTTCCTATCTGAACTTTTATTTTGTATACCCTTTACACCTGTTTAATTAATCCTAAACATGATGCTGACTGCTAATTAAACAGCCCTGAAAGTGACTGACTGAAGGTAGTAATTTGAGATAATTAGTTTTGGTTTCAAACACTCAATTTTCACACTTTGTGCTCATTTTTAGAAAGAGGTGGCTCATTATTTTAGGCAGGGTGGAGGTTGTAAGGGCATTTTACTGCTGGACTCTGAGTAGCTGAGGAAGTGGAAGGATTATTATAGATCCAAACAGAACAAGGAAATGGTATAGTGCAGTAGAAGTTGCTATAGAATTCTCCTCTATCTCCTCCTACACATGCTCAGACAGACAGACAGGCACACACAACAACGACACTCACACACCATACCCACACAAGCACAGAATTCCTTCCAAAATGAAGGTCAGGCTGCTGAATCTCTTTTATTAGAACATAGAAATGCATATGCTCTTGATCCTTGAGAAAGTTTTACGTAGTGAAGGGTAGATCTCACCGAATCATCCATCATCTCTTTCCCAGGTCCTCCAGAAGCAAGCCAGAAAAGGTAAAAAAGGCCAAGATTTTGTGTGTGGTTTGGGATTTGGATAGGCGTCCTTGCTGAGCAGTCCCATTCTACAAAGGCACAAAGCTTAATCAAGGGGATAATCTACCAAGAGATGTCTGGTGTACCTGGCAGGGAAAGCAAAAGGACAAAAAGGAGGCAGGTCAGACTGGTTTTCAAGGTCCCACAATGTTAACAAGCAAGTTAATGTGGTCGCATTAGGAGAACAGGACCTAAAAGAGCTGGGTGTGAAATCATTGTTGTAGTCAATATAGGTAGGCACAGGTTATACCGAAGCGGAACAAATCCTGCAGTACCCTGGAGAGCTCCAAGCACATTCGTCTACTTCTGCCTGGGTAATTTTATGTCTTGAAACACTTCACTGGCCATCAGTATGGAGTAGGACTCTCTAGACCTATGAAAGTTTATTTAGATGTTGAGGACTTCTCAAAGATGTCAAGAGGAGAGTCAAAACCTCCATGTGGCTTGGGAATCATCTGGCCGGGGGGTGACAGTTGGATCCCAGAGTTCGCAGCCCTGTGTGGGAAGATGGAACTGGAGCCTCTTTGACCTCAGAGCACTGACATCAGCTGCAGGATCTGATAGAGAGCAAAGTTAACTGTTTCATGTACAAGTCAAACCTGCATCTTCAACCAAGTGTCAAGTTAGTGCATCATGAAGTCATTTTGACCTCTGAGATTTCACACCATAGCATGACAGCAGAGGAGTGATGAGATGTACATCTCTTAAACTCTAGATCCCCCTATATTGTTGCCCACTTTTTAGTTACTTTCACTCATCTCACGGAAGCCTCAAAAGGAGCAAGTCAAAAATTGAATCAGTCATTTTTATGTTCCCAATCTCCACTTGTTCTTCTGCCTGTCTTGGTAAATAGCAAACATCGTCTACTCAAAGTCATAAACTGAGAGCCATTGCACATTTCTCCTCATCACCTACCCCTTTCCTTGTCTTTCAGATGCTTTTAGGTTCTACAGCCTTCCTTTCTTTCACTGGCCACTGTCTCAGTTTAGGTTTTATACTTTCGGTAGCAGTTTTCTAACTGGTTGTTTTGCTTCTAGTACGACTTCCCTTTAATTCAGTGTATCTCTAAACGTAGTGTGGGCCCACCTGCATCAGATTCCTCTGGGCGGCAGATTCAAATGCAGATTTCTGGACGTCTAGATATACTATGTCAGAACCTTTCAGGATGGGGCTGCCCCAGTGGGCACTAAAATTTGAGGATTGCTCCTCTCCCCACTGCTGCCAGTGTGATCTTTCTGAAACAAAAATGTGATCATGGCGCTCCCTTGGTTACAATCCTGCTGTGCTTCCCAATGGGCTTGATGATCAAATCCACACTCCTTGTCAAACTTAACTCGCCCTTCATCACCTGGTTTCTGTCTAGCTTTGCGGTTTTATTTTCTGACATTTCTCCCTTGGTATCCTGCATTCCCAACATGTGAAACGCTGCACTTCCTGGGACCTCTCATGCCCTTTCCTGACTCCATGCCTTTGGACATGCAGTTTCCTGTGGCCGAAATGTTCTTCCCTGTCTTGTTTGCCAGATTTCCTGCATCTTGTTTGCCAGATTTCCTGCATCTTCTGTGCTTCGTCGAGCCTGCGTGTCCTCCCGCGGTACTTTTTTTTTGTTTTCTTTGGTATATGTATTTTTATTGAAGTATAATCAGTTTACAATGTTGTGCCAATCCACTGTATTTCTTTTACATGTGCGTTTTCTTCTGTCCTGGTGCTTTTCACTGGTAAAGTAAGAATCTTCCCTTGTGTATATGAGTGAATATTGCATTACAGTTTTTTTTTCGGGGGTAGATTTGTGGCATGCAGTTATTATGTTCCTCAGTTTGAATTTACTTAGGAGAAACAACATGTGATTTCTAATTTTATTTATTTATTTAAAATTTATTTAATTAATTTATTTGCAAGGGGGAGGTAATTGGACTTACTTATTTATTTTGATGGAGGTACTGGGGATTGAACCCAGGGCCTCATGTATGCTAGGTGTAAGCTCTACCACTGAGCTACATTCTCCCCGCTGATTTTGAATTTTAAATGTCTTCTGGCAATCCACTCTGCTATGCCAGAAAATAGTCTCTTTTCCTAAAGAAATTATGGTATGGATTTCTGTTTTGTGATTTTTTTTTTGAGGGGTGGGAGGCTGGAAAGATGTTTTAATTAGAAGATACATGGTAAGCCGTTCCCAGATCTTTTTGTGGTACTCAGTGATTATATCAATAAACAGTGAATAGACTTGCAAAACGATATATTTAAAACAGTTTACCAAAATAGAATCTTAAGACTGAAATGGTATCCAGTGTAAAAACAATCTCATATTAAATTTTCTGTTCATTGTTATGTAGCTTTTATGTCCTGAAGCCAAAGGCGATTTCAGAGGTGACCTTTTCTGAGGCCTGTATGCAGTATACCTTCATTTCTGCCTCATTTTTCTGCCCCAGAACTACCATGTACAGAATTAAAAAAAGCAATAACAACAAAAAGCACACGTTTTGCTTTGGCTTCCAAAACAATGAAACCTGAAGCAAAACTCAGTTCTTTCTTGCTGTTTGGAAATGTGCTTTGGAAGAAAATGAGCCCCACAGACCGTGATAAAATACATCACATTGGGATGTTGAAACCCTCGTTAGGCGTCAGGCTGCTCTGTCTAGGCTTCTGGCGTAGCTTTGTCTATTTAGTGTCCTGTGTGACAATCCATCTTCCGACAAGACTCCTCATGGGTTGAAATGACCTGTCATTTGTTTTGCAGATACCTCAAATCAGCTATGCATCCACAGCCCCGGAGCTAAGTGATAACACCAGGTATGACTTCTTCTCTCGGGTGGTCCCACCTGACTCCTATCAAGCGCAGGCCATGGTGGACATTGTGACGGCACTGGGGTGGAATTATGTGTCGACTCTGGCTTCCGAGGGCAACTATGGAGAGAGTGGCGTGGAGGCCTTCACGCAGATCTCGAGGGAGATTGGTAAGCATGTATTTATCAGATGATTGTATTTGGAGGCGACAGGTTGCGGAAATCGGAGCATCTCCAAGCGCTCTCTGATCTGTGCGGAAAAATTAGAACTCCTACAGATGCCTGACCCAGGTTTGTCCACTCTGGTGGGAATCTGGGCTTATTATAAATGATTTTGTTGTTCATGGTCTGTCAAGGTGACACTTTGGTGCTAATTTAGGAAATAGAGCTCCTGACTCAGGCGAACATTTTTTAAAGGTGTCTGTTTTGACAAGGGAGTTTGCTGGCACATTAGAGCCACTGTAAATTTGAATAAATGACATCCTATTTGATTGTTCTAGATGGAAGTTTACATTAGCAAGTCATTAAATGTAAAAAAAAAAAGAGGCAGTGGAATTTAACATCCAACACTAGAGAGATGAAGACTGGTAATCATTTTAAAACAATACTGAAGCAGCCTGCAAGGCTGTACGTAAGCGATATTCTTATTGTCATATTTGACTTTTGGCAGTTTTATTCTTACTTCAAACTCTGAAGCTTACGGTAGGTGAAGGGCAAGAAGTGAAAACTTGGTTAGAATAGGAGGCTAATGAACCCCTTCCAGGATTTTTCAAGGTTCACATCCAAATCTCTGGAGGCATTTTACTACATGTAGATTTAGCCATGAGGTTGTAAATCCATTCTACTATGTGGAAAAAACAGAAAAGAAAAAACAACTTAGGGCATAAACCTTATTGCTGATTGCTTAACAATATAACTTTGCAGATGAAAGGAGGTATTTTACTGTTCTTTCACAATGACTTGTTCTTACTGAGAATTACTGAATAAAATTTGCATACTTTTCTATAATAGTAATAACAATGCTTTGTGGAAAAATTTAAGTACCCTTTGGCTGTTTTTGAGTAAGTTTGAACTTGCAGGAAATTATATTGATAATTTATTGTTTTTCTTGGAAGCTTCAACGCAGGAAAAGACCTTGGGAGTGATTTGGGCTTATCCCTAATTAGCAAAGACAAAGAGTCTAAAGTTATTGGAATAAGGTTTTCTCTTAAAAGACTTGAAGATGTCTGGGGTATATTCTTCTGCATATAACAGAGCATGAAAACTTATACACAATATTTAGGGTGTTTAACACGTGTTCCAGTGTTGTGCTGTTGCAGAAAATGTAGGAAAGACTTCGTCTTCATGGACAGATTGGGTTAATTTATTTAAGGGACAATTATTCATTCCTGTTGTAAGTATCCATGATGCTGTAATCTTTGCCCTTGGGAATTTTAAATTATATCACGGTTGCTCTGAAAATAATTCAAAACATTCACTTGAACTTTAAGTGATGGTAAATTATATTACCTTCTCGGGTAAGAATCCCAAGTTTATCCTTAGGAGAAAATGCCCACTCCAAAGAAAACAACCGCTTCTAAAGGCAGGGTTAATGCATTATTTAAGCGGCTGATTTCAGGTCTCACCAGAGTGAAAATTCAACAAAAGAAGGAAACTATTTGAGTATGAACTGAAATGAGAAGTTTTCCGCACTGATCCTGTACATTCTCAACTATAGGACACATTCTGTGTGCATGAAACAGATTACTTTGAATAATTCAGTACAGGAATGATTTGCCAATTGTTGCAGAAGCTGATTAAATGCATTGTTCTAAAAGTTAAGTGAGATCACAGTTTTAGTCGTCTCACTAAAAAAAAAGGAAATACTTAGTTTTCACTTTTAAGGAGCATTGCTATACTTTGGTAACTGTCACATAAAAAGATTCAGATGGTACCATTCACCATTGCTGTTTTTATCTTAGTCCTTAGGATGGGAAAAAATAATTTTAGTGCCTTGTGTCTGCCCCTGATTAGAGCAACACGTTTCTTCCATGTTGACCTGTGGGTTCTGTGACTTGATTGGCTGTCCATTCTATTTCAGTTCTTAGTTATCTGGGGAGTGGAGGAGAGCTGGACTGTCAATTAATATGCAGAATACTGAAAAGGCCAAATTAGTACCATATTAGAGTATGCCATGGAATATATTAAATATCAAAATCATCCCTCATTTTAATGACAAAGATTTTATCTAGAACAAAAATAGCTGAAAATTAAACCTTTTACATGACAATGATATTAATGGGAATGGCAAATGGTGGCAACTTAACCCATTCTGAAATGATCTGATGACTCTAATGAAAATTCATTAGTTCTGTAACATTTGCTTCTTTTCCTACAACATTCATGACATCTCTGTCACCATGATAGTGTGTTTTAAAAAATCTTAGTATCTTGACTGAGAAAGAGACATATAAATTCATTTTTTGGAGTGTCTGCCCATTAATAAAATTGTCTGTTTTCCCAACTCTTGTACATGTCCCTGTACTCTGTTCAAAATTTCTCTCTTCAGCAACGTTGATTGTTAAGAAATTTCAGTGTAAATTGAGGCTTCCTATGTTTTATCTCTGATTAATTCTGACAGATCATAATGGAATGATAGTGAAATGAACATCTGTTTAGTGATAAATTGCTTATATGGTTTGATTAGAACATTTTTCATTTTAACAAAATCTGAGACTAGGAAAAGTGTCCTTCGGGAGTCTTGGAGAATGAAATTTATGAGTGAATGATGGTCATGAACACAGACATCAGTGATGTCTCTTCTCTAGTCATCAAGATCCTTCTCAGGGAGAAGGGGATAGGAGTTATTTGATGAAAAAAGACAAAGGACCTCTTGATATCCTAGCTATTACAGTCTCAGAGCCAGGTATCCTCGACTATAGGATTGCTACTGGAGAAAGCAAAAAAATATTTGTGATCAGCAAATAGCACAGTTTGACTGGAGTATAGTTTGTGTAGTGAGGTCAGACAAAACTGAAAGTCTTGACATGGACACGTAGTTTAGTATTTCACCTTAAAGGATTTTAATAATTTTATCTTTCATTTTCTAGACAATAGAGGAAACTACTGATAAGAGACGGATCTACCAAGATGTGTATTTAAGACTGTGCTATTGAGGGGGAGGGTATAGCTCAGGAGTAGAGCACATGCTTACCATGCATGAGGTCCTGGGTTCCATCCCTAGTACTTCCATTAAAAATAAATAAATATGCCTAATTACCTCCTCTCCCCAATAAATCAGTAAATAAAAAGAAACTGCCACTTTAAAAACTAAACAAATGAAAACATTTAAAAATAGAAATAGGAAAAAAAAAAGACTGTGCTAATGAGAAATAGAAGATGGTGAGGCCGATTGAGAGGCCTTTGTAGTATCAGTCTTGAAACTCTGAACCTGGGCAATTGTGAAAATGCAAGTACCACAAATAGAAAAGAGACAGTTAAATGGAAAGGTTGGTTTGGGATGGGAAGTATGGTGGTTATAAACCTAATAAACTGTAAGTATTAGTACATTTCTTTGTGGAGAAGAGCATCAAAGAACATTGGCCTAGAGTCAAGACAGGAACTGAGATGTGGATCTGAAGCTCATCTTCACAAAATTGATAGTTTAGATAATTGAGGTGGGAAAGGTAATTACTAAGACAGAACATGTAGAGTAAGAATTAAAAGGGCAGAAGATATGCTCTTGGAGGAGAAGCTTTACTTATATGTGGAATGGGATGGGATGACCAGCATTGGTGAAGATGTAGAGAAAAGGAAACTCTTGTACACAGTTGATGAGAGTGTAAATTGGTGCAGTCATTATGGGAAATAGTGAGGTGTTTCCTCAAAAATTGAAACTAGAACTACCATATTCCACTTCTGTATGTTCAAAGAAAATGAAATCAGCATCTCAGAGAGATACCTGCACTCTCATGTTCGTTTCATTATTTACAATAGCCAAATTTGGAAACAAGCTAAGTGTCCATTGATAGATGTAGAAAATGGAATATTATTCAGCCTTAAAAAAGAAGGAAATCCTGCCATTTGTGACAACATGGATAAACCTGGAAGACATTATGCTAAGTAAAATAAGCCAGACCAGAAAGGCAAATAATGCATGCTCTCATTTATGTGTGGAATCTAAAAAAGCCAAACTCATAAAAGCAGAGTGTGGAATGGTGATTTCCAGGGGCCAGTGTGGGTAGGAGAAATGGGAAGATATTGGCTCAAGGGAATACATTTTCAGTTGAACAGGATAAATAAATTCTGAAGATCTAATGTACAGAATGGTAACAATAGTCAATAATACTGTATACTTGAAATTTGCTAAGAGTTGATTTTGTGTTCTCACCATATACACACCCATGCAATAACTATGTGAGGTGATGGATATGTTAATTAGCTTGATTGTAATCATTTCACAGAGTGTACGTGTATCAAAACATCATGTTGTACACCTTAAATATATATGATTTTTGTCAATTACACCTCAGTAAAGCTGCAAAAAATAACATTAGTATAAGTGAAAAGAAAGATGTGGGAATAATAGCCTAGATTAAGCGAGGGAAAGCTAAGAATATGGTGAAGTGTTCTCGTCTCTCAATGCATTTGTGGCCATGGGAGGGCTCTCAGTCTTCTTTGAAGTTTCCCATGATGGGAGGTGGTAGGAGTTCTAGAGAAAATATTGAAAGATATTGAGCAATTTTCATAAGAGAACAGGAACTTTGCCAGAGGGCACAGCTGAAAGTGTGGTGCTGTGGCAGAGAATCAAGGACTGTCCTTGAGAGAGGTTGTATTAGGGCTTCCATAATAAAATATCACAAACGGATTGGCTAAAAACAGTGGGTCTTATTGTCTCACAGTTCTGGAGGCTGGGAATCTGAAATCAGGGTGTTGGCAGAGCCATGATGCTTCTGAAACCTACCTATAGGGGAAAATCTTTTCTTGCCTCTTGTAGCCCTTGGTGTCTGCTGGTGATCACTGGTCTTCATTGGCTTGCAGATGCATTAGTCCAATCTGGCTCCATTATCACATTGCTATCTCTTTGCTTGTTGTGTCTGTCTCTGTGTCTTCTCATAAGGATGCCAGTGATATTGGATTCAAAGCCCCACCCCACTCCAGTATGACCTCATCCTTACTAATTGTATCTGCAG